AAACAATCCAATAAGGGCAAAAAACACGATTGCAAAATTTTGATTTTTGGTCGAAAATTTCATAAGGGGGGACCAAGGGACCGATTTTTGAAAAAAGTTCAAGTTTTTCAAAATACCTCGAGTGATACATCATTTTCATCGGAAAGAGACAAGGAATGCAACCAAGTGATTAAAAGATACCGGAGCCTTTCCAGCTCCCAAATAATCAGCATTTTCAGTCTATTTTGAACGGTTTTTGAGCGGTCGCAATCTTCAACGGACGATATCTTCCTTATTATCGACCCACAACTTTCATGTTCGCTATTGGGCAGCTTCTTAGATCGGAAACAATCCAATAAGGGCGGAAAACACGATTGCAAAATTTTGATTTTTGATCGAAAATTTCATAAGGGGGGACCAAGGGATCGATTTTTGAAAAAAGTTCAAGTTTTGCAAAATGCCTCGAGTGATACATCATTTTCATCGGAAAGAGACAAGGAATGCAACCAACTGATTAAAAGACACCGGAGCCTTTCAAGTTCCCAAATAATCAACATTTTCTGTCTATTTTGAACGGTTTTTGAGCGGTCGCAATCTTCAACGGACAATATCTTCCTTATTTTCGACCCACAATTTGCATGTTCGCCATTGGGCAGCTTCTTAGGTCGGAAAGAATCCGATAAGGGCAAAATTTTGATTTTTGGGCGAAAATTTCATAAGGGGGGAGCAAGAGGTCGAATTTTTCAAAACCGCGATTACATTTTTGCTCATACTACGAGAGTTTTTGCTACATACTCAATAGAGTAACAACATTCAAGTGGTTTCTACGGAAAAAACATTGAAGTGCGCTCATTTTGAAAAGAAAATATCATTTTACAAAAACGTAAATAGTCGCAAACAATAGCCAAAAACGCAAATAGATTTTTTCCATACGTAGATAATCGCTAGAGTACCAGACGTCTAGTTCTAACTACCGGATAGAACATTGACTGACGCGTTTTTTTTTTTAGGTCCAAACCGTCTTCTGATATCAATTCATTTCGGCCTAAAAAATGTTTCCTACCGCTTTGCAATTTTTGTTTCCAACACAGTTGGCTGGTGATCCAAAGCACAATTTCGCCACCGAACAGCCCACATAGAAAGGATCGATGTTTTCCAAAGTGGCTTGGACTCGAGGTGGCGTAAAGTTGGGCGGCGTCGGTTCATGAGTGTGTGTGGGGAAGGCGATTTGTGGATCGTCGGCTCCTCTTTTCGTTATCTCCACCGGCCGGGATTCCACTCCTATCCAAAATGTGTCGTAGCTTTGAGCTATCGTGGCACTGGAAAGATTTTCAAATTAATATTTTTATTTTTTTGCATGCAAAATAAACCTTGTCTCTTTTCCGAGCTTGGACGAGTCTACATAGTTAGTCAATCTTAGTCGAATTGCTGCACGGCGGTTAGGTGAAAGGTGCCCAAGAACAGCGACATTGTTCAAATTGTTTAATTCAAGGATAAATTTACGCTAAATTCCATTGCCCAAGAAATAATGGACGAGCACTCGAGTGGCTTGATCTGCATGCCATTTAATTGTTACTTTAAAGTAGGCGCCTTGTGAAAAGAATTAGATCCGTCAATTGTTTCGCTTGCATAATGGTGTGATTTGCGCTATGGACGCAAGCGAAGCCATTAAACGCACAAACCTTGAACGATGAAAATAAACCAGCAACAAGCAACGTTGTTTGAATCATAAATGATCAAATGGCTGCTACCAGTTGGAGTCTTAAAGAAGCCAAAGTGCCAGTCATTTAATTAACTGAGTAATTGTGAGAGATTTCATTGGTTGCTTTATTCAAACGCAATTTTCGAATAATGAAAAATGCAATTCTATTAGTCATCGCCTTGGACCCAAACTTCCGCACTTAAGTGTATTTATTTACGACTGTACACTCTCTCTATACACTCATGATGAATTTGTCCAGTTTTTACACCGGTTTTTTAATTCTGCTATGACTTCTATGCACAAATCTTGCAACATGTGCTATACTTGAAGCAAAGAGCTCACTTGCAGCACGAACGAATTTTGTGGCCCGAATGGTTCTTGAAAAACTTCGAAAAAAGCAGCGCCATGTTCAAGTGGATTTTGCAACTCAAAAAACAACCACGCAAATCTAAAACTTCTTGAATTCAAGCATTTTTTTAGAAAACTACCAACATTTCCTTATCGATGGTTCACTTTCTAAAAAGGCCATTTATTTCTTCTCTCTAGAATGATGTACAAATGAGCGTTCTTGCTCATTTTGCCTCCGAGAAATGAGCAAAAACGGGACGAAAAACATTAAATTTTGGCATAATCTTG